CGGTCAGTAAAAAAGACAAAAAGGAAAAAAAAAAAAAAAAGATTGTAACATAAATTGGAAATCTACCGGGAACGACTAGAGAATACAACACATGTAACAGCCATAAGCTGGCATTCATTTGCGACCTGAAGTTAGTTTTCATAAATGTTCCTGGCAAGGGGGTAGGAGCCTGCTAAGTCACAGTAAAACAAGCACCGTCTTCCCAGACTGTTGATTGTACTTGAAGATTTAGGGAAGAGGTAAGGAGATAACCGGTAAAACAATTTATTTTTCAATTAAAACAGATAGATATAGAAATGAACAAAAGCTTTCCCTTAACATAAAACAAGAGATTTAGAAAGAAAAAAAAAATCTCCTTATCTCTTCAGGTGAAGCTTCAAGATTGCTGAGGGCATGTTTTAAATTTCCTCCCCCTCTAGGAGTTAGTTGGTGGAAGTTTGGAAAGTGCAGCTATAGAAGGAGAACACAGATTGTTAAATGCTTCTAAAATTACCACCACCCAACCGAGTTGTAGAATCTGAAGCTCACTTTCTTTTTCAGGTCATTTATAATGTCCAAGCCAGAATCTTCAGGTATGTTTCACTGGTCTGAAATCGATCTCTTCTTGAAACAGGCACATCAGAGAAAGCACATGGATGACCTCGGCTATAATAAAGGGGGTGATTCTGATTAGAGCTGTCAGATGACTCACTTCTGATAAAATCACTGCTACTGATCTTTCCTTAGGCTCACATTCACTCAAGTTCTACAATGCTGTGATCCTTTCCTACATATTCTAACAGACATTTCTGCCTGGCTATAAGGAATCCTCCTCTTGGCCCATTTTCTGTTCTTATTTTTGCATATTAGCAAATATCACTTGTAACTGCTCTCTATCCACATCATCTTTTATTGCCTACTGGCCTTAAGCTTCTGTATACAAAGAGTAGAAGAGTACAGAAATCTCTTTATCATAGACTTTTGAGAGCTTCAAAGAACAACACTATGAATGATTCGCTATTGTCATAAAAGTCAGACAGACCCATGTGTGGATCCCACCTTCAACAATTACTAGCTATATGACTTAGATTTGACCCCTAAAAGCCTCAATTTCCTTGTCTATAAAAGGATAATCACTACTTTTTTGTAAGAGCCGTAGTGAGGACTAAATGAGATAGCATATATAAAGCTGCTTATGTACTGCTTAGTATACATGGCCCTCAATAAACGCCAGGTAATCTTCGCCTCCTCCAAAGTATAAACACATATACACTTCATATGTGTTTCTGTACA